CCCCAAAACCCCAAAACCCCAAAACCCCAAAACCCCTAGATATCAATTTAAAGTTGAAATGATTACATTTTGATGTCAAGTTCTTCTTCGTCCATCTCGAATGATACTTCTTTGTCTTTGGTGATGACTCTAGCAATGAAAGAGGTCTTCCTGTCATATCCTCTGTTTAAGTACTTGACTCTTAGTTTGTCTTTAGAGTTGACACAGCTGTAGCTAAATATTATCAAGTTGTATTTCTGGTGAGTGTAATCGGTGCTGAACCCGTCATCTTCATAGAGGTAGCCCTTGGCTTTATGATTTTCATCAGGGTAAATGTATAACTTGACTTGTGAGACTCCAGTCTTGCGCATCTCCCACAATGAGCGCACTCTAAATGTTAGCTCATACTTACTCATTCTGCTGGATGTTAAAATGCTCAGGCACAATGGATCCGCCTTTGACAAAGATTGGAACTTGAGCTTGTTCACTGATTTCCACTTCTACTTCGACAAGTGACTTAGATGAGTAGACTTCTGAGCAGTGTCTTTGGTACCAGAAGTCACCAGTCTCATACTCTGGCAAATACACTGATACTGTCTTGGCTTCTTCTTGTGTGACTGCTTTTGTTATCAAAGTCTGCCCAATAAACAGCTGATCTCTGTGAATTTCTCCTGACTCATAATCAATGACCAGATTGATGATTGGCAGACTGCTGATGTGGTGATGGTAGAACTGTGTGTAGTAGTATGGAATGAGTTCGTACCTTGTCACGATGGCGTTGGTCATGGCTTGTTTGTATGGTGAATCAAACAAGTAGACTTCTCTTCTGTCATTGAGTCTGTCAGAGTGAGACCTAAAGAACGGAAACAGACATCCGAGCTGATAAGCTCTTGTACATAGTTCAGGAGTTGCATTTCCCCAGAACCCTGGGATGTCTGGACCACAAAATGAAAATCCTGAAAGAGCTATAGATGCACACATCTGAATATATTTGGCCAGATGCTCCCAGCTACAGGTAGAGTCACCAAGCCACATTGCACAGTATTTTTGAGAGCCCATGAAGTACGACCTGGACAAGCTAAATGGTCTGAGGTGTTTGTGTTGTCCATCAAGTTCAATTTTCTTATGCGAAAGTCCTTCATAAGTAGCTTTTTGGTTTGTGAGTGCATACAGAGAATGGACATCTCTGTGTTCAAATTCAAAATTTTTTATTTCATAAGTATGCTCTTCATTGTTTAGTATGCAACAGGTAACCTTATGGATATTTGTCTTAGGCATTGATGCTTCTGTTTCTGAAAGAAATACTTCAGGCTCGTTCATGTCATTCCAAACGTGCACATGAGGTAATCTTTGTAAATGATCTGAATGCAAGTACTGATTTCCAAAGTACTGTTGAGCCTCATGATTCAGAAAATCTATCCACACACAAGTCCCTGGCCAACAGAACCCATTGAATTCTTTGCCTTTATTATCCATCACCACAAGTCCTTTCGATATTGCTTCAGGAGCCAAGTAATGATTGGCAGCTTCTTCATCAAGTGTCTCCATCGACAACTTTTCTTCTTCGGTCAGTTTCTCTGTGGTTTCGTTTGAATACTGAATGCGCTTGAGAGCTTCAGTCTTTCGTTTCTCGTCGGCCTCAGCGAACCTGTAATCTTTGAAGTGAGGGTCCACAATTGTGACTAATTGTCTGTCTGCTTCGACCAAAGCATCGTACATGGCTTTTGGATTCGGAAAAGCTTCTTTGTCCCATGTGAAGTACACTTTAGAGTTGGTGTGCTCGATGTCCAGCCAAATAAAGTCTGTAGGCACGTTGTGTTCAACCAATTTCTGATTGAGATCTTCAACTTCGAACTGAGTGAAGTAGTTCCATCTACATTGGTGATGGCCCAGAGCTGTTTCGAGAGGCATCGGGATCCGTCCTGAGAACTCGCTAACTTTCTGGGCGTTTTGTTCAATACTCTCAGATGTAAACATATACAAGTCTAGCACTCCGGATTCATTGGTCCACTCAGAAATTTTGTTATCACCGTTTTGCATGAAGTCTACTAGAGTATCAGAGGTGTTGAGGACAATAACTCCTGTTGAAATGTTGCTTTCAAGAGAATACAACAATGGACAAGACCCATACAACCCTACTGTTAGATGCTTATCACTGAAATGAGTATTGTTTGATGATCTGTGAGGTTCAGTGAGTCGTTCTCTGCTTTCATAATCGATGCTTCACTCAAAGTCTAAGTTATCAGTCAATCGGTGTCACAATCCCATCAATTTCAAGTCAAATGATGAGTCAACATGCTTCACATGCTCCAGTGTCAGTCCTACACAAGAAGGTCCATGTGGGATTTGTTCAGTGTACCCTTTGAACTTGTATGACTCAGATGTTGACTTGAGTACTTTCTGTAGCCACTCGTCAGCTCCTGAGTTTTCTGCCAGAATCCTGATCAACTCAGCATCTTTAGATGTCTCGAATACAAAGGTGTTTGCTGGGATCACCAGTCTTTGCTGACCGTTGACTGTATAACAAAGCGAGAAGCTATCTTTGTTTACAGTCACTTCGACTGACGACTGAGACTGCACAGCATCATGGTTTGTGTATCCAACTATCTGAGAGATCTCTGTATTGAACTTCATAGATATGGAATCGACTCCATTTGTGTATTTGGCGTCTGAAGTTCCACCGTACTTAGGACTCTGAAAGATGTGAGGCTCCACCACTCCAGGGACATCTCTGACTCTGAACCTTTGATGGTCAGGATCTTCAGCTAAGATATTTACGAATCCATTCGGAAGGATCGCTATTGTCACTCTTATCGAGGTTTCAATACTGCTGAGTTGGTCTCTAACAATATCTTTGACGCTCTCAGTATAATCTCTAGTCAGCAAGAAAGACATGGCTTTAGGCTCTTGAGTAATTGAAGAGTCATCAACAATCCACTTATAAAGAGGATTTGCATTTCTGAAATATGAGACTCTGTCAAAGAAACCGATTTCCCCTGATGTTCTGAACTTAGCAGTATTCTTAAGTGTGTCTAAAGATGAACTACACAGAGTTACCATCATCCTCATGGGCAAAGATAATTGCTGAATCTCTGGCTGCTTGTTCTACTTTCTTGGAGAATATCTTAAGTGTTTCTTCGGATTGACTTTCCATTTTGCAAATAAAATTTCAAATCGTTACTTTTAAGCAGGGGTTTTGGGGTTTTGGGGTTTTGGGGTTTTGGGGTTTTGGGGTTTTGGGG